ATTCTGGATGCTGTCATTGTTTTACGGGGGAATGTCCAATCTCAAACAGAAAGACAAATGTGAGGATGAGACCATCTAAGTGCCTCCCCAAAATATTCTAAAGCGGAAATGGAGGAGAGGCCTGCACCCAAACAGTTCTGCGCACACAGCTACTTCTCTGTAGGTTTTCCAGTTGAAGGACAAGGTGGCTGAGCAGCTGAGATACAGCCGTCAGTCACCATTACCTGCTCCAGCTCGTAGGCCTTAGCCTTGTCCTCATCGCGGTCTGCATTCTTGCGGTAGGCCATGCCCAGGCCCCACACGGCCAGGATACTGTAGATGTTATCCCGCACCCAGGCATCCTTCTGCTCATGGCTGGCTGACAGCAGCCCCGTGACGGGATTCTATTAGAGAAGAGACACAAAATGGCTCAGTGCCACCCTTCATGCAGTCCCTGGGTAACAGATGCTTGCCCTAACAGGGGAGATGAAGACCAGGACTTGGAGCAGAGAGACCAAAGTTCCAGTCCTTGATCTGCCACTAACAGTGTGATCTTGGGTGAGACATCACATTCCTTCTTGGCACCTCAGTTTCCTTACTTGTATCACGAGGATACGCGACTAGAAAATCTCTAAGTGCTGGGCGCGGTGGCTCACGGCTGTAATCCCAGCACTTTGGGAGGCCGAGGCGGGCAGATCACAAGGTCAGGAGTTCGAGACCAGGTTGGCCAGCATGGTGAAACCCCGTCTCTACTAAAAATACAAAAATTAGCCAGATGTGGTGGCACACACCTGTAATCCCAGCTACTCGGGAGGCTGAGGCAGGGGAATTGCTTGAACCTGGGAGGCAGAGGTTGCAGTGAACAGAGATCACACTACTGCACTCCAGCCTGGGTAAGACTCCATCTCAAAACAAAACAAAGAACATATCTAAGGAAGATTCCAGCTCTTCTGCTTTCAGACAAGACCACACTGTTGTAAGTGGTAAAACAGAAGAAACATCAAACAAAAAGCCTGCGAGGCTTTTACAAAGTGGCATATTGCAGACTTTAGGTCTTCTTCAGCCTTCATGTGTCCATATCAATAGGTAAAGCACTGACCCTGAGAGCAAGAAGCCTGGAGGCAGGACCCCACTCCACTCTCTAGCTCTGTGTGCCAGGGAAGCGACGTTCCCTCTCTGGGGAATCCAGACCTTCATGTGCCTAAAGAGAAGGTACCAAGCAAGAGGACATCTGGAAGTCCTATTTAGCTATGATATCATGGGCATTTAAAAGGGCAACTGAGTCACTAAAAAGCCAGACCTTGCCACACAAAATTATACACAAATGTTCACAGCAGCATTGTTCATAAAAGCCATAAAGTGGAAATAAGCCAAATACACATTAACCGATACATGGATAAATGAAATGTGATCTATACAAACAATGAAATATTATTTGGCAGAAAAAGGAAGTACTGATGCATGCTACCACAGGGAGGGACCTTGAAGACATCATGCTAAGTGAAAGAAGCCAGACGCCAAAGGCTACATATTGTGTGACTCCATGTGTATGAAATGTCCAGAAAAGGCAAGGCTATAGAGATAGAGAGTAGATTAGTGGTGGACTGTGCTGGGAGTAGAGGTAGAATCTGGGAGTCAGTGGCTGCTAGTGGTTTTTGTTTTTTTAGGTGATGAAAATGCTCAAAAATGGATTGTGGTGACGAATACGCAAATCTGTGAATATGCCAAAAACCATTCAGCTGTACAGCTTAAATAGGTGAATTGTATGGTAAGTAAATAAAGCTATTAACTTTTTAAAAGGCAGTCCCAATAAACTATGCCTAGAAATCAGATAAAAGAGTCATATAATGATAACCCTTCTGTTGACATTTCCTGAAAATTTGTACTTACCTAATAAAATGTATCATAATAATCAGAACCTTGTAGGCTTAAAAATTACATTACTCAAAAGGGTACCATATTATTTACAAGAGAGCTCATGAAAACACTCTACTGGGTACTTTCATAATGATACTGCCGATATTAGGTAAAAAACACTGGCATGGTTTCACATGTTCCCACCTAAGAAATTAAATATTTGATTTTCTCCCCTAACAAATCTACGCCCTCTACCAAAACATCTAAAACTCAACTGATATTACCCGCAGGGGCAACAGCATTCAATGTATTGACATGGTTCTATAGCTAACAACTATGAATTACTGATTTAAAGTAAACCAGAACTGAAGTCTAGGAATGGCTGAGTGCAAGTACAAATCTTATTCCAATAGTAGACTAATGGTGCTCTTTTTAAAAATCACTATTCACCAATAACATATAACATAAGCATCTTGGCCTGGTGCGGTGGCTCACGCCTATAATCCCAGCAGTCTGGGAGGCTGAGGCGGGTGGATCACTTGAGGACAGGAGTTTGAGACCAAATTAGCTGGGCGTGGTGGCATATGCCTGTAATCCCAGCTACTCAGGAGGCTGAGACATGAGAATCACTTGAACCCAGGAGGCAGAGGTTGCAGTGAGCCAAGATTGTACCACTGCACTCCAGCCTGGGTGACAAAGAATGTGACTCTGTCTCAAAAACAACAACAACATAAGCATCTTTATCTGTTCTGAGGCTTGCTAGGTAAGCCAGGGACAGGGAAACAGGAGACCCAGAGTAAGAAACTCAACCCATTTATGGTGTGCCTGCCAACCATGTGCCTATTGAAACAAACAACCTTCCGGTGACACAGCAGTGATCGCTCACACATAGTGCCAAGTGTGGTTTGGATTATGAAATATCCCTGTCCTGTTAACTGAAAGTCATCTCTCTTATTCTTTAGACTGCGCTTAACTGTTGGAGTAGATTAGTTTATCCTCACCCAAAGGTATATTGTCTGTCCCCCTCATTCAACTACAGAGAAGCAGTCTGAGTGTTTCAGGGGATCTCCACACTCAGAAGCAGACATACACCAACCATGTAAAATTAGGGTGTTACTTTACTCAGCAATAAGAATATTTACTTTTTGACTTGCTTCTCGTGTTAAGTCTATAAAAGCCAATCCTCTGTGTTGGAAGGAGATGTAGGTGGTTCCATTTTGATGTGATTCATAAAAACTGAAATGACCACAGATTGACAGATACTTCTGTTCTGCTGTCCCTTCTAATACGGATGACCCAGTGGTTTTGTCTTTGAGTCATTCTCCTGCCTGGAGATGGACTATGCTGCCATATCTGTACTCTCACTCACTGATGCTTGGGAACCACCTACACAGGTCCATCTCTTTGGAGCTCCGGAGTCTTTCCTTTACTTTAAGTATGGCAATGGAGGAGGGAACAAGAAGCTGCCCTGTCTGATCCATTCTGGAAGCTAAACACAAACACAGGCAAAGACAGACTACAGGAGGTCAGTAGGGAGATTTGTCCAAGCCAAACCTATGGTTTCAGATATGATCATTTTAACCATTGTTGCTTTCCAATCTCTGAAAAACATTATTTAGCTATATCTGCACCCACACATAGCATTGCAGAAATATATAACCATAATCAGATAGATGTATCTTTTTCAGTTGTCTTTCTTCCTTCTCTTTTTTCGCTTGGTTCCCTCCTCCCCTCACCAATCCCATAAACACAGTCCATGTAACAACCTCATATATACATTTTTTCCACATTTTCTCCTATGTGTTACTAAAACCAGATTTTATACACACACACACACACACACAATTGTATACCTTAAGGTGAAGTCTATATACACACACACACACACACACACACACACACACACACACACACACACACACATAATTAAAATTCCTGTTCATGCACAGGTTTTCTTTTGGTGCAATCTCGCCTCACTGCAACCCCCGCCTCACGGGTTCAAGCGATTCTCCTGCCTCAGCCTCCCAAGTAGCTGGGATTACAGGTGTGCGCCACCATGCCTGGCTAATTTTTGTATTTTCAGTAGAGACAGGGTTTCACCATGTTGGCCAGGCTGGTCTCAAACTCTTGACCTCAGGTGATCCGCCCACCTCGGCCTCCCAAAGTTCTGGGATTACAGGTGTGAGCCACCGTGCCCGGCCAGGGCAACTGTTTTTAATGAGCATGATAGTGTGATCAAATGATACATACTGCTGCACCCTGCATTTCTCTTTCAATAGAACCTTATGAGGTCCCTCCAAGTGATCTGGCATAATTCAAACTCACGAGTTTCAGAGGCTGCATCATATTCCAGAGGATACCTGTAACAACAGGTTTTCATTTGTTTTCTGGGATTTTTTTTTTTATTTGGCAATACAAAGACTGCAATAAATATCCTTATATATTCAACAGTGCTTTTATTTCCATGAAACAGAATCCCCAAAATGTGAATGCTGGATTGGCATGTAATATGCATACATACTTTAAATTTTAATAGTTATTCCCCATCTCTGCCACAAGTTATCAATAGTTTTTTTTGTCAGTCTGATGGGTGTAAAGTGGTATCTCATAACCATTTTTATTTTATTTATTTATTTATTTATTTATTTATTGTTTTGAGATGGAGTCTCGCTCTTGTTGCCCAGGCTGGAGTGCAATGGTGCAATCTCGGTTCATCGCAACCTCCGCCTCCCCGGTTCAAGTGATTCCCTTGCCTCAGCCTCCCGAGTAACTGGGATTACAGGTGCCCACTACCACGCCCGGCTAATTTTTTGTATTTTTAGTAGAGACGAGGTTTCACTATGTTAGTCAGGCTAGTCTCAAACTCCTGACCTCAGGCAATCCACCCGCCTCTGCCTCCCAAAGTGCTGGGATTACAGGCGTGAGGCACCGCACCCGGCCAACCATTTTTATTTTAAAAATTTTTATTTCCCTGACTACCTATGAATTTAACCATCCAGTCATTCTTGTCTGGGAGGGAAGGGCACTGGATTTGCTCTTTGGTGAGCTGATCAATTTTTAGTTTCTTTTTTTGTGTGTGTGATGGGAGTCTTGCTTTGTCACCCAAGCTGGAGTGCAATGGCACGATCTCGGCTCACTGAAACCTCTGCCTCCGGGGTTCAAGCGATTCTTCTGCCTCAGTCACCTCAGTTGCTGGGATTACAGGTGCATGCCACCACACCCAGCTAATTTTTGTACTTTTAGTAGAGACAGGGTTTCCCCATGTTGGCCTGGCTGCTTGCTATCGAATTCCTGACCTCAAGTGATCCACCCCACCTTGGCCTCCCAAAGTGCTGGGGATTATAGGCGTGAACCACCGGATCTGGCATAGTTTCTTTTTAAACCAGGTACTATGTCACCATTTCTACCTACAAAGAAAGACAACCCTCCATGTATTGTGTTTAAGAGCAAGCTGGAATCAAACTGCCCATGTCCAAAGCTCTACCACCATCCAGCTGTGACCTTGAGCAAATAACTTCAGTGTCCACCTGTCAAGTGGGGATTATAA